ACACACACACAAAAAGAAAGACCAGTCAAGCATCCCACTGACATCTACAATTACAAGCTCACACTGAGGGTCTGTTCCTGCTTTTAAAGGGGATTCCTAACAGGCATGGGCTTGCTTCTTGGAACAGCCCCCTCCCATTAGTCAGTGCACAAACCTTGGTGTTCGCCGTGCAGCTTTTGCCTCTGGTTGTACAGATTTTTCTCTGTCAGATGCTGAATATCCAGGAGCCCCTGCACAATCTCATAGACCGTCCCATCTATGAGTGCTTGGGCCAGGTCACTCAGCGTGTTGTAGGAGAGGCGCTGCTGGAAGGAGCTGTTGGATGGATGAGACAAACAGGAATCATCAAAACACCAGTTATAAGTGCTTAAAACTGAGGCAAGGAAAGGTAGGACAACATTACCTTGGTAAATCTTTGACTAAGGTTTGCAGTTCAGATAAAAGGTAGTAATGTCTTTCCTGTTGTTTTGTAGAATCAGCGCCCAGAACTGCTGGATACCCATCCATCTCTTCAACCGGCGGGGTGCGAGCAGCGGTTTAAAGCCTCTAAAACAGATACACAGACAGAAAATGAGTGTTTTTTTCTTTTAGCTGAGAGTTGTGCTCCGTTGTTTATTAGCTCCTCTTTCACTACGAAGGACCTCCAAGTAGCTGGCTGTCAAGATGCCTGTCTGTAATTACGCGTGCAGTAGCTCAACATGTACACCAGGTGGCGCGTTGTATCAAAGAAGAGCACCACACACTCCCCAGGTACGATCATACATTCACGGAGATTACTAATTAGTCCAACAACGCATCTAAATAAAAAAGGAAATAATGGAATACAGTTAAGAGATTGCGAAAGGTGTCAAATATTAAATTCTCAGCGGGGCTTGTTGTTGTTGTTGTTGTCAATATTGTTTATTTTCCCCATCATGTTTATTTCAGAATGGACTCATGTGATGGTTCATACATGAATGCAGTTAAAAACAAAAAGAAAGGACCCCCCCCCCAGTCTGTCCCACAGTCCAACCTGCTGGTCTGACGGGGCTGCATGCGCGCCTGTGTCGCGCGCTACTGGTGGGCTGTGCGCCGTCACGCGCCGAAGGTGCCATGAAATGAAGAAAACTCACTTGCGGAGGGGAAGAGCACTATTTAAAGGAGCGCGTATGGGAACACAGGAGGAATTGGATTAATAGCTCACTCGACTACACAAAAAAAAAAGACATAAAAATGGCCAGAAACACATCTCTTTATTTCAGAATTGTCGAGGGCAGGAACCTCCCCGCCAAAGACGTGTAAGTAATTTGTGAATGGCATGTGCGTCTGTGCTTAGCTCTCAGAATATAGACCGCCTCAACATTGTTTACTAGCTTCTTATCAGGTTAGTTAGATGAGAAAAAAAAAAGTTGAACCTACATTTTAAACGCCAATTCCTGCTACGGTGTCTCCTCTAAATGAGTTTAGAGGTGAGCTCGACAGGTCTATTTACTTTAAATGAGCCCAGCACGAGTACAATTCAATTAAGCTTACCAAAAGGCAATTTAACTACTCTAGTATGTCTCATGTTGTCCCATCTTTCTCTTGTCCTCTTCAGCTCCGGGACCAGTGATCCATACTGCATCGTAAAAGTTGACAATGAAGTTGTGGCCAGGTGAGTTCTCTCTGATTATAAATGAGGATCTGCACAACATGTGCACGAAAAGGATTTTATTTGAACCCGAGCTGCAGTCGGACAATATCTCTTGTCTATTGTCTGAGTGCTCACATCTGAATATCTTTCATCACAGTTATGATATTTGCATTAGGTTAGTTCCTGGCTGTGCTCCCGCTACTCTGCACATGTAAACCGGGGTGGAGTGTGTATGATCAGACTGGTGGTGCCCACAGCGTGTTGCCCCTCCAACACAGAGAACCTGATACTGGCCTGGCCTTTAAAACACCCGCAGGTAACCATGGAGAGGGTGCATCAATTATTGCAGGGAGCTCCTGGTGTAAGCAAGGTGAATGCTGGGAGCTGGGAGCCACCAGTTCTAGAGGTGTTTGAGTGCAAACGTAGAGATGATTTCATCCTCCAAAGTATTCAAATGAAAGCAGGTTGTTTCCAATAGCTGCTACAGTTTGTCATTTCCAACCTGGCGCTATTTGACTGCAAGCCAGATATCTTTAAAAAAAGAAAAATGTTGGGCTTTAACGGGAACATGGGTTGAATTCAGTGGCTATTGTTCCATCTGGCATCATGAGGGACAACGGCACAATGATTCACTGCCGACACTCACACTAATTATCTTGTACTTGTAGTGTTACTGGCCAACTGACTCTTCGAGTGTGATGGTCATGGATGATGTGGCTGGTAGATTGTGGTGGGAAATAATGAGTACAGTGCACTCTGAGGAACAGAAGGGCTTATTATAACAATACGGGCTTCTAAAATTGTACCAAGGGTAGCGTATTCTTTGAAATATTTTGATCCTAGATATATGATTTGCATTGATACCAACACATTTTGTTTCTTTATGAAATATAAACCTGTTCTTCAGTATAAAAAACCCTTTTATTATTATGTATCAGGCGTACAAGAACATGCATAAATAAATCAGTCTAAAACTGACAAAATGTTGATTCAAATCATGAACTACTGATCAAAGAATAAAGACTACAGATTAGAGATGAATGAAAATTATTTCAAAAATGTCCAAATTCTCTGATTTCAGCTTCTCAAATATGAATATTTTCTGGTTTCTTAAGTCCTCTGTGACAGTAAACTGAATATCTTTGGGTTGTGGACAAAACAAGACGTGAGGACGTCACCGTGGGAACCAGTGATCGACGTTTTTCACCATTTTATGGACCAAGCAACTGAATGATCGATTGAGAAAATGATAGACAGATGAGTTGATAATGAAAACAATCATTAGTTGCAGCCCTACTAGGAATCTGACTGAGGCATTTAGTACTTTGCACTTCTCAGTAGTGTTTTGGATCAGTCCATATCAATAATGTATTGAGATTTTCCTTTTTGGCTTTAACAGAATCCTTAAGAGCTCCTACAAAATGCTGTCTCCAGAAAGCTTACTGATCCCTACCTTGAGCCTGCTGTAGTTCTATAAGCAGGACATTTTTATCTTGCTGTAGAGCAGTGACGCCTTACTTTTTAACCATATGATACCTTAAAATGAAGTAATGCCTGTTTGTAACATTGCATGTATTAGGGCTGGGAAGTATGATCAAACATTCATATGACTAGTTTTTAAAATGCTGCTACTACAGCATTTTGTGGATTTTATTGCATCATGACAGGGCCTTTTTAAAGGTTTTCAGTGGGTGTCCTTACTCAAAAAATGCAATTTATTACTCGTTACTCTTTTCAAAAGTAACATTATTACTTTACTTATTACTCCCTGTCAACAGAGATGAATTACACTACTAGATACATTATTTTTCTGTAATTTCAGACTTTAAAACTCAGATTTGTTTTTTAAAATCAAAGTAATGGAATATTACTATATGGCAGTATATAAGCAGCATGTGTCAGTAATTTGTGAGCAGATCCACTAGAGAGGGATTCCTCAGATCATTTCATTTGAATCATTTTAAGGGCCCAAACAAGTAAAACTATCTAGCATCTGACAAAAAAGCTAAATTTACATACAATTTTGAAAGGATTATATCGTTTTATATAGCAGACATATGTTTTTTCTACTTGTAATCCCTTGGAGCGATTCCAAACCGCAGTATTTTGTCTATATTACTCAAAAAGCAAATAATCTGTCTACCCTTCAGGTACACTTACAAAGAGAGGGTTTATACTGCTGCCACGTTTACAGTGATTTCTGCTATCACTCCACTGGTTTTATACATTCGTGTGAGACGTTTCTGGTTAAACCTCTCTTTTCAGGACTGCCACAGTGTGGAAGAACCTTAATCCTTTCTGGGGTGAAGAGTACACGCTGCACCTCCCGATGGGGTTCCATTCACTCTCCTTTCATGTCATGGACGAGGACACGATTGGGTAACGCCCGTCATCCAAAGCTGTCTCATAATGCTTCCATATGCAACCATTACTCTTATCTGTCGCAGCTTGGCAGTTGATTTATGGTCTGTGAGCGTTTGCTTAACTTGGCTCATGACTTGATACATTTGGGTTAAAACCTCATGTAAATGTTTTGGGAAGAAAAAAACCCTCCAATCTTTGAATAAACAAACATCATCAGGCAGATGGTCGCCCAGATTGAGTGATTAAAGGTTGTTTTCTTCCTCCTCTTCTCATGACCACCAGTGCTCTAATCAGCCTGTCTTCAGATTCACCTCATTTAACTCTAGCAAGATCAAACAACTTTGATAGTATTTCCCATAGCTTCTGTCTGATAATCTCTTCTTTTTTTAATCTTTTTCTGCAGCCACGACGATGTTATTGGAAAGATAACTCTGAGCAAAGACGCCATTGGATCTCAAGCTAAAGGTAGGACTGAACATATCAACATCGGTCTGTAACAGGACGACCAAAGCTCAGAGGTTAAACATACATGGCTTCCCATGAGCGAGTCAAAGGTCTGAGTGATTGAAGAGAGTCGCCTTTTTTAGACTCTGGGAATGTTTCTTAGAGTTCTCTCACACGTTTAAATTGATTTTTTTACATTTATCAATCACTGTTTTTGGGAGTCTCTTTCAGTTTTGTTACTTTAAACCAGTTAATATTGTTTTGTGTTATTCATTAGCTTTGGTTGTATTTCACCTTCAGTTAGTTTTCAGAGTGGGTTTGCTTGTTTCAGTTTTTTAGTGTTTAGTAGTTTTAATACACATTATATAATCTTTACTTAATTCACGTTTTCAATTGGTTATGAAACAGTCTAAATTTACTGCTAATGTCTTTATATGACCTCCATACAGAAAAAGATCATCAGTGAGAAGATTGGCTATTTCTATATTGTTATTCTTAATGTCGTCCACCTGGTCAGATTCGGTTGGATTCCCCTTGAAATCAATGAAACAAGGCAGCGCAAACACTACTGCTTTTGTCCACAGGGGCCGCCAGATTCAACACAAAATGAAACTTCCTTGTAGGGGCTTTAACTAAAATGTTTTTTCACACCTAGATTTAGCTTTTAGTTTCGTTTGACCAACTTGTCAAAGACTAAAACTTTAAAACAACATTTCAGTTAGTTTTTGCTTTTTTCTAAAGTCTAGTTTTTGTTTTTGAGTTTGAGTTTTGAATTAATTAATAACCTTACAACTGACAGTCGATGCAATCAGCATTCACATTGATGGCTCTCCTGGTGCCTGTCTTCATAAACTCTGGGCTTTTTCATTGTGTCATTTTAAACCATCCTTTTGTGTGGAAGCCCACAGCGCTGTAAAATGAGGCGAACAACCCAAGCATTTCAAATGGCCCCAAACCGTTTAATGTCTGGCTCTCTTACAGAAGCTTTCACATTCAACAAATTAGTCACAGTGTGTACCTCAGCATGAACTCGAGCACTTTTTACACTGTCTTGGCCAGACATACGCTGTCTAAAATACGATACGTCGTGATGATGTTGTAGTTTTATTAGATTAGATAAAGTGTTTATATGTTTGTTGCATACTGATGCCTCTCTCCTGAGAGCCACCTGGCTTGGCCTTCATTTGTGTGATTCATTGCTACATGGCGGTACTGAGTCAGTTCTT